ATATATTTGTTTCATGTACTCTGGCTGAACAGTGATGAGATATTCACTTAATTTTCTTTTGCTCAACTTAAATTGTGTGTAGCTTTCATTACAAGTTTCAGCAAACAACCAGAGTGTTTCTTGCTAACGTCTTGCTGGGTGCTTGTATGCTTTGTACCACCTTCTTTCGTAGATGCCAAAGTTGGGTGGTTGTACTCATGGCAAATGTTGTGGTATGTTTGTCTCATCATGGCGAATGGCAAATACCTATGTGAGGAGAGTGTCATGTTTCGGCCTATCACATATCTTGTCCTACAAAAATATATATGTATATATTTTATTTGAATTCCACATTTCAACTACAGATGAAAGGTAGGTTTGGAGTAACATATGCATCATGTTATTATTTAATGGGGCGTTATTGTTGTGTCGCCTAGCTTCTAAGCCTACAGTATACCTGTATCAATAATAATCTTATTGTTACTGGAATTGGTGTTCACGGCTCTGATGATATACTGTAGTGTTATAGCACATCGCCTTTAGACAGTGCATTTTTTAGACATTTAGGCCTAGGCCTAGACAGTTTTTCATAGGACCAGGCCTATAACTAGGCCTATAGTATACTATTATTAGTAGGCATAGGGGCCTAGGTCTATTATTAAGAAAACAAATGCACTAGCACAATTAATGTGATAAAGTCGCCATGGCATGGCATGACAAGTCTAAGCTAGGCTAGTAGTAGAAACCTACTAACTTTACCGTTAGCTGGATAAGGCTGCATGCGAACTCACCTGTTGCTGGACTGGAGTAGTGTCCCGGACAGGAGTGCGCTACTGCTGCTGGGTAGACACTGACTGTGCTAATCCTAGGCATAGGTGTAGGCCTAATTATAAACAAACAAGTCATCGGACTGATATACGTTTATCAATTCAATTGAATTATTCCTCCATGATTGAATTGACGTTGACTAAACCGTCTTTCTGTAACTGCGTACGTAAACGATCACAAAAACTCACTTCACACTAGTGTACTGTACAGTATGTATTGTCTAGTCGCTCGATCGTCGGGACGATTTTTCGATCAGCTGCTCGCCAAAATTGACAGACGTGTCTTGAATATTAATGAGTTGGTTAGAAAATGCTACCAAGTTACTGAAAAAAGTGATCAGCCTCGTTTTCACCCGATTTTTCTGTCTCATCATATCATGTTTTGTTTCTGTAATTATCGTAATTTTGAATTTTTAAAGTATTTTTCCCTAACTCAGGAAAGGTTAAATAAGCAATATATGGCCACTTGTCTCATCCCCGCACCGCCCCCCCCCCCTTTAACAGTACTCACGGTCAATTCTTTACTTCATTTCTTGATTCAAAAATACTGTGAAGCTCTCTTACTTCATCTATCACTCACGTATAATTACTTTAAGCTTTTACATATAAGCCTTGTACTTTTATCTTAAAATGTGCCTCGATATTTCCTTTAAGATATTTTATCTTTAACTCCTGGCTAGATACCTTTAAACTAACCATTTTAAACACATTTGCATACTTTTACACTCCACTTAAATGCACGAATCATACACTGCCACTTTGCCTTAACCTCATTAATATTCATGTAACTTATTTCCATTCACAGACCGTTTTAACTTGAGTCATACAACTATGCATATTCATTAGTTCACGATTCAGTTAGCAGTGCTGCAAAGTAGAATGAAATATCCTAAATATTGTGACAATATACTTTATTTATTATATGTATATCTAATAATATATATAAAGAAATTATTGTATACAGTGAGTTTAATGAAAATAAAAGTATATAAAAATTAATTTAAAGCATATTAATCTCACTGAAAATTGTACATACATAATTACTATATATATATATACATATGCATATATACATATATATATTAAATATAATTGTATATATATATATATTTCATAGTAAAACATTTGAATTCTGAGAGTATGGATATGATTCTAATATTCTAATGTAAAACATTAGTTACGTAATTTTTAAGATACCATACAATATTTGACCTTGATGACCTTAAATGACCTATTTGTGGCATCCTGACCAGGTTAAAAATGGTAATGGTATGTTATACACATTGAATGACCTTAAATGACCTTTTATTACCTTAATGACCATCAGACCATGTCACAAGTGTTATAAATCCTTGACCATGAAATATAGTTTTAGATTTCATAATTCTCATTAAAATGGTTTAAAAACCGATATATTGATAAATATAGGATTTGCGTAACAGCAATTTTGAAATTCAAGATGGCCGCCAGAATGACCTCGAATGAAATATTGTAGTTCATAGTAAAGATTTTGAATTCTGAGAGTCTGGGTATGGTTCTAATGTAAAATATGACAATTAGATTAGATGAATCACCTCATTTTTTAAGTGTCCATGCTACGATGCCTGTTTCAGCTCCACCAAACCTACCTAAGACTGGAATACCAGATGCCAGTTTTCCTAGCAGTCGGATGGATAAGGTGCTCTCATCTATGGTAAAGGAACTGAGAAAGCCAGTTTTCGATACTACGAAGTTCGATGGGGACCCAATCGAATATCGAAAATTCAAGAGGCAATTCACTGCTCGAGTCGTAGGGTGTACAGACACAGACGATGAAAAGGACGTCATAGTTAACGCATTCATGAAGAAGGCACTATCCTGGCCAACCATTAGGTGACAACCTAAAGGCTTTGGATGCATTTCTATATTTTTAGTGGAGTGCGAAAGTGCCATCAAGTCTATAAATGCCCTAGGAGTAATGAAGTATTCCGAAAATATCAAGAATATTGTACGGAAGCTGCCATTCAATTTGCACGAACGGTGGAGGACACTAGATAGCCGACTAAAGGATGAGGGTAAGACGGTGAAGTTTCATAATCTTACTAAGTTCGTCAAGCAGGAGGCCAAAAAGGCAAATGATCCCACGCATGGGAGAGCTGTAAATCCAACCGATGCTGGAAAACGGAGGGCCAAGGGAAGCTATGCTACCAAGCTTGGCGACAATAGAGAAACCAAAGTGCAATCTAACATTACAGCTGCATCAACACCAACACCAAATCCAGTCCGGGCATGCTCCATTTGTAAGAAGGGAGAACATAGGGTAGATAAATGTGATGTGTTTATGGGCAACACCATTCAAGACCGTATCAACCTTGTAAAGGATGCCGGAATGTGTTTTGGTTGCCTGAGGCAAGGGCAGAGATCAAAGGAATGCAGAAATAGAGCTACCTGTCAGAAGTGCCATAAACAACATCCGACGGTTTTACACCGAGATGAAGTGCCAGCTTGTCGAGTAGAGGTAGAACACCCAAAGAGCTCGAAAGATGTAATACTCGATATCACAGGATCGAACCCATCTTGTCATACAGGGGCGGTAACACCATTTGCACCATGACCCAGTGGCGGCTCTAGGATATATTTTCTTAGGGGGAAGTTGTCCGACAGGGGGACTTGAGCTCGTAGGCTCGAGCTGGAGGATGGGGTTGAGAGGGGTACCCCTCCCAAATGAGATTTTTAAAAAGAATATCAACCTCTGGATGGCCAAAAATGGCACTCTCAGACTGTGACATACATGCGTTGGCTTGGAGTGGGCCTATTTTTATATGTTTTATGGTCTGACTGCCCGACGAGCTCTCAGACATAAGGATAGCACTTCCTCATCCTACACAAGAAACTGCATCCAAGTCAACTCATCACACATACCTATTACTGAAACTGCAAGGAACTGGCCCCATCTGAAAGGAATTAGTCATCAAATACCACCGCTCCAAGACTGCAAAATTGGACAACAATTGCCCTCAAGCTCTCGCTCCAAGAGACTACGTGTCTGGTGAAAGCAATCGACCATATGCGATTGAAACAGCGTTAGGATGGAGTGTTGTTAGTTGGAGGTAGTGAGTCATATAGAACACTTTTCAGATTGGACAAGAGCAGTAAAGGTTATAGTCACCCTAAAGAAGTTCATTACGAGAAGAAAGAACACTAACTCTGAAATCTATACTTCAGAAGAAAACAGAAAGAATGCCGAAACAACCATTATTAAAATGGTGCAATATCATTACTTCGACGATGACATAAACCAACTTATGAGTGGGTCAAGTTACAGTGGCAATCTTGCGAAGTTAGACCCATATGTAGATGCAGACGGAATACTGAGGGTCGGTGGTCATTTGTCACAAGCTACTACATTAGACATTTGTATCAAACATCCTGTGATATCACCAAGAAAGAGCCATGTAACATACCTGATTGTTAAGCACTTCCATGGAAAGACCACCCTTCAAGGAAGAGGCATGAAGGTGAACACTCTTAGAGTCAATGGATTCTGGATAATAGGAATCAGTTCTGCCGTATTAAGTCATGTTTACAAGTGTAACATGCAGAAAACTACGTGGACGTACCCATGACCAAAAAATGGCAAATTTTTTGGTCATGCTCTCTTCTTCATCGCCGATTTTTAATGTTGACGTGCCCCTAAAACCGAAGGATGGCTTAAGAAACCTGTGAAACATCAACAGGCAAGCCTACCATTTTCCAAATACAAATAAGATCTATTTCAACAACTACAATAAGCTATAGAAATATATAAAATGCATTATGTATTATACAATTTTTAGAAGAAATATTATCTATCAAAAACTATGCATTAAATACTACGTCTTAAAAAATTCATGAAATTGCAATCACAAACGCTACAGAAATATAAATAATATGTATTATGTGCTATACAATTTTTAAAATAAATGTCTATGAACTAGGTATTAAATAAGCCTCAAAAACATATAATATAATGAAGATATAAAAAATAGATAATAGAAATAAAAATGCAGTGGCAGATCCAACATTTTGAAATAAAGGGTTCCAAGGAGGGACTTCCAAAGATAACAATTTATGATTATTTATGATTAAATATTATTTTATCTAAATTCAACAGCAGCAAAAGTCACTACAGAAGCTACTAAAGAAATAATAAGCTATATGAAATTATATATCTNNCGAATGAATTAATTATAACATAAGAATGGGTAACCTGTTTGAAGTTTGACCCTTGACAACGACTCTTCTTTGTTGGAATGTCACAATCTTTGTATCCACTTAAACAAACGTTTCCTGCAAACAAAATCCATAAAAAACTAATTAATTACAAGATTTCATTAAAATTCTTAATAGCACTGCTGATCCATCAATCCTCTAGATACAAAATTTCTTTAATTTTTCTTGGCAACTATGGCATACCCTTTGTTTATTCAGCTAAGTTTTTAGGAGTAAGTCTTGACAGTGGCCTTACATGTAAAAAACATATCAATGAAATAGAGAACAAAATTTCAAAAAGCCTTGGTATTATTTTTAGATTATCCCTATTTCTACCTATTTGAGTGGTTTTCGGCGTGGCTTTCAATCCAGGTCATTGTCAGTTTCAAGCTTGACTCAGTCGGATGTGGGGTGGAGTTCGAATTCAATCGGTAAGTATTCCATTTTCAAACATTTATTATGTCAAGTCTTAGAAGTGTTATGGTCATGATAATTTTAGTGATGTTTAGATCAGTGTGATTGTCCTGTTTGGGAGATTTTTAGTGCAGCTATGGTTGTGCTTTTTTATAATTTAATTAGGCCTAGGGGTCTAGGTGGAACGTCGCTAGGCTAGGCTAGTCTTTCAATTTCAGGCTAGGCCTAGGTCTAACCTAATATTATGTATGCCATTAGCTTCTCTACCTAGGGTAGATCTAGGCTTAGGTGTCTAAACAAACAGTGTTATTTTCATATTTGATATTAATTAGAAATTGCCAGATTACTTTGAAGTGTGTATGTGGCCACAGGCTCATCATAGATGCCATATTGTAATTTTGTGGCGATAAATAGTTTTTTCTATGATTATATTTAGGGGGTAAGTATATATTTTGATGTCCAAATATCTTACTAAAAAATCAACATCTAATAAAATATCAAATAAAATAATAGTAATCGGTAATTATATTGAATATGTTAGTAAAACAGCTTTTATATGTGAATTTGGTAACAAATATTGCGCTTCAATCTTAAGTTAATTTACACAAATCATGTACAGGTACATAGACCCCATATTGTAATTTTGTAGAGATAAATATTTTTTTCCATGATTATACTTAGGGGGTAGGTATATATTTTGATGTCCAAATATCTTACTATTAAATCAACATCTAACTAGATTTGAACTCGTCACTGAGGATGAGTTTGGTGATCCGCCGTACTTTGACCCTCATGAGGCGTGCGCTGTGCTGATTGAAAAGTTTTATTTGCTAAAATAGGCTGTAATTAGTTTTTTTTTTAAAAAGAAAATTTTGAGCATTTTAAAAGATTTACATATTCGTACGCGCACGTCTTGACGCCCATGAGTACGGTAATGGCACAGAGTTGACTCCTGATATGAATACAGTGTCAGGAACCCAAAATATGTAACAAAACCTAAATTCCAGCTTCATTACATGCTGTGCGCGTGGAAATGAACGTACAGCGCATAAATTATGGAAAGTTTTGGAATGCTGAAACTGACATGAAATGTTCTTTAAAATTTTTGAAAAGTGATATTGAGAATTTTGTGTGCGTGGATGGTAATGGCACACGAAATTAAACATTTTCAAGTGTTTGTAAAACCGCCTGATAGTTGGTAATGCCACACAAATTTTCTCTTCATATAACTTATATATCAGTCTGATAGCGTCGAAATACAGTCTGCTGCCCTCTCTGTTCTATTGTGTTTACATCTTTTAAGAAAAAGAGATAAAAGGGCTCCAAAAAATCATTCTTTTGGACCATGACGTGATCAAAATGAAAAATAAAGGGACGCTTCCGAAAGAGAATTGTCTGAGCTATAACATACTCACAGGTGGGAGACGATCGATCAAGAGAAAAACGTTCAAATGAGTTTAAAAATTATAAATTTAGGTTTTTTTAAAATTCAGATGGAAATATGATGACGTCACAATGCCCGATCAGCAATAATGATCTATAAAATCATATCTACAACTCATGTGCTTTCAGAATATTTAATAAAAATTTGGGGTCACCTATCATCATAAGGAGCTATAACTGATTAAAAATAGGCATAATTTTAAGAATACTGTATATAAATGTTGACGCATGCGTACGCGCACGTTAAGACGCGCGAATGGAAAACTGATGTACCTGACATCCAACCTTGACCTGAAGTGTATGCTCATTAAATATGATTCAGAAATGGCGAATGATTAAGATGATTATGGGGTCTTCAATGTTTTGAGGAAAGGAAGATGAGGGGGTCTGAAAGACATTTATTTTGACCATGATGATGTCATCAAAATGTAAGAAAAAGTCACATTAATATGAAAGAGAATTGTCTCAGCTCTAACATACTCAAAGTTGGGAGACAATCGACCAAGGATAAGCGAGATATGCTCAAATGCGTATTTTCAAAAATGATATCATCGATAAAATCAGTTTTGTTAAATTCAGATGGCAATATGATGACGTCACAATGTCCGATCAGCCATTATGATCTATAAAATCATATTTTCTTCGTAAGGTTTCTTTGTATTTTGATTCGCTGTAATGTTTGATCTTTTAATGGGGTTTGGGGTAAACCGGCTTTGCTACAGTGATTTGGATCACTCTGGTTGTCCCTGGTCTCCCCAAATTTCAGCTTTTTTGTTGTTGTAAATGATCAAATAAATAATGAAAAATGAAAAATGAAATTTACAACTCATGTGCTCTCAGAATATGTAATAAAAATTGGGGGTCACCTTTCATCCTAAGGAGCTATATTTGATTATAAATAGGCATAAATATAGGCATATGTAATATTTGACGCACGCGTACGCGCACACAAAAAAGTAAGATACCTAACATTCAACCTTCACCTGAAGTATAAGCCCATTTAATATTATTCAGAAATGACGAATGGTTAAGATGATATGACGTCATCAACGTTTTGAGAAAAGAAAGATGAGGGGTCAGAAAAAGCATTTATTTTGACCATGATGATGTCATCAAAATGTAAAAAGAGAATAGTCTTAGCTATAACATACTCAAAGTTTAGAGACAATTGACCAAGCATAAGCGAGATACGCTGAAATGCGCATTTTAAAAAATGACGTCATAGATAAAATTCAGTTTGTTGAATTCAGATGGCAATATGATGACGTCACAATGTCCTAAGGAGCTATAACTGATTTAAAAAAAAAAAAAAAAAAAAAATCAAAAATGATGTCATCAAAATGTAGGAAAATGTCACATATATGAAGGAGAATTATCTCAGCTACAACTTACTCAAAGTTGGAAGACAATCGACCAAGAATAAGCGAGATACGTTCAAATGCGCATTTCTTAAAATGACGCCATCAATAATATTCAGTTTGTTGAATTCAGATGGCAATATGATGACGTCACAATGTCCGATCGGCCATTATGAGATAGAAAATCATATTTAAAACTCATATGCTTTAAGAATATGTAATAAAAATTGGGGGTCACCTTTCATCTTAAGGAGTTGTAACTGTTTGAAATTAGGCCTGATTTTAGCAAAATCTTTGTGCACAAATGCGCACAAAGTTCACTATGTTTGATGCGTGCGTATGGCATTGTTATTGGCCATAAGGTGATTGAAAAGATCGGAAACTTGTAAAAACAATGTCAGGAACTTAAAATGTGACAAAAAACTTATTTTCTAGCTTCTGTATGTGCTGCGCGCGTAAAAATGCGCACGCGTAGTGGTAAATTCCGAAAAATTTTGGAATTCTCAAAATGGCCTGAAACGTGCTCTAATTTAGTCAAAAAGTGATTCCGAGCATTTTAAAATTTTGAAGCATGCGTACGCGCACGTTATCACGCGCACGCGTAAAATTAGGGTACATTACACTAAACATTGACTTGAAGTTAATGCTCACTTAATACAATTTCGAAATGGCAATTGGTCATGCTGTTACCATTCCTTTTACCTCAATACCCGTTTCAGCAATAACTCTGAAGGGTTGAGGAACCTCACTTTGCACTGACCTTAACTGACAAACTCAATATCAAAAGAGAGAGCCGAAATGTTAATTAGTTTTCCAGTAAGTTGTCAATAAATCACATAGACATACCTATGGTATAGTATAGCTGACCTTGCATAGGCAATAAATTACAAAAGCAATGATTATAATCCAGTTAAAGAGCAATTACCAGAGAAAGGCCTAATGTCCCAAAAGATGGTGGGAAATCAGGAAAATTTAAAAAGGGTAGAAACACCTCATGTTAGGCTGATATGATGAAGCGATCTTGTGTGTAACTAGTGGCATTCTTGAGATATCGTGCGAACAAAAATACGGAGAAAGAAGAATAAGAAAAAAAGATGATGATCCTGACAATAACAAGAGGTGATCCGCTAGAGAGCGGATCACCAAAAAAAAGATGATGATCCTGATAATAAGAAGAGGTAATACGCTCGAGAACGGATCACCAATAATAGTAATCAGTAATTATATTGAATATATATGTTAGTAAAACAGATTTTATGTGTGAATTTGGTAACAAATATTGCGCTTCAATCTTACATTAATTTACACAATCATGTACTTTTGTTTGCAGATTGTTGATTGCACATGTATATAGTTTGTCAGTTTCACATGTGTCCTGTGAAATTGATTTGGTACGTACTGTATTTTCAAACACTTATGTGTCTGTATTGCCTAATTAATGCTGTTGATTATGGTCATCATATTAGTGGTGTTTCTAGAAGAGTGTGATTGTGTCCTGTTTATGAGTATTTGAGGCTAGTTATGGTTGGGCCATGGAGGTATAAATACCTCCATGGTTGGGCTTATAATTAATTAGGCTGAAGGCCTTGCTAGTCTCTTCCTTCTATTTGAGGCTAAGGCTATTTGGAGGTAGGTGTATATTAATATCCAAATATCTTACTAATAAATCAACATCTAATAAAATAATAGTAATCGATAATTATATTGAATATGTATGTTAGTAAAACAGCTTTTATGTGTTAATTTGGTAACAAATGTTGTGCTTGAATCTTATGTTAATTTACACATATACTTATGTTGGTGTACGGTAAGAATGGCCCCGGAAAAAATTGCCCCGGAAAAAATGGCCCCGGAAAATATGGC